GAAAGAAAAAAGAAAAAAAGAGAGTGAGATGGAGGAAGGGAAGGAGGGAGGGAGGGAGGAAGGAAGGAAGGAAGGAAGGAAAGGAAACAGAGTTTTCCAAGACAGCCAGTTAGTTACTCACATGAACTCACTGCAATGGTGATAGCACGGACAATTCCCACCTAAGCTCAAATCAGACAAAATTCAAGCACAGACATGGGCAAGTGGATAAGAAACCCTAACCTCAGCTGAGGAACTATTGGCAACCAATGGCTGCTGGGAAGGGGAGAGTTAGTCTTATTTAAGGGTGTGTTTGTTGCTGCTCTTTACACAATAGCTAAGAGATGGAAGCAATGTATTTGCCCCTCAACTGATGAGTGGTTAATTAAAATGTGGTATATTTACATAATGGAGTTCTATTTAGCTGTAAAGAAGGAAGAAATAATGAAATTTGCAGGTAAATTAATGGAACTAGAAACTGTTATACTAAGTGAAGTAACATGGACTCAGAAAAACAAAAGGTATATGTTCTCCTTCATCTGTGGATGAGGGGACTCATCTTATTGTAGAGACACTTATACAACCATGTTTGTTGCTGCTCATTTATTTTTTAATTTATTTTTTTAAGCAGAGCATAAGGTAGTGGTTTATTTACAGATGATTAGGTACCCTACATTTACGGCTGCACAGAAATGTCCACACTCAAATACAGATTCTGTGACCTCCTGTGATAGAGGTGCCTCTTGGTGTTCTCAGCTTATATACCCTTGTTCTCAGCTTATATACCCCCCCACATGCAGCTAAGGTTGATTGATTGGGTGCAAGGGATAACTGACTCCCTCCCTTGACTCCTGGATGAGCATGGGAAGGAGGTGTGACTATAGCTTGCTGGCATAGTGGTCAGAGGATATTTCCAGTTAACACTTCACCTCTTCCTCTGGTTCTTACATTCTTTCCACCAACCTCTTCTGCAAAAGTCCCTGAGTCTTGGAGGGGGTGTTAGGCATGGGATGATCTTCCTCTTATTATGGCAAGACACTGAACTTCTGGGTTTGTGCAGCATCTGTTTTCCATGGGCTGTTGGCCAATTTGAGTGGGATTCCATCTGCTATAAAAACACACAGAGCAAGAAACAAGAACATCTAAACAGTGACTGCTATAATAACTTAACATATGGGTGTAAACACAAATGCTTGGTCAGTACTTTAGCAGGTGTATCATTTCCACCTAACAAAGCAATTGCAGTGATTTACCACTGGGACCTATATTCTCCCCTGCCACAGGGGGTTGGCCATGTCTACAGTACCAGATGTGTTCCACTCCTAGGAGCAGGCATTATATCCAATAAAAAATTTGCTGGTTATACATCCACTCGATGCTTGACTATTGCACCAGCAGGAACATCTATTTGGTTTGTTGCTGGTGCAATATATGTGGGGTCTGTTGTTGAAAATTATAGGGGACTATTCTCAGCCAGCCATCTAAGTGTTGCCTTTTGGCACCATGAAAGCCACCCATCCAGTGGCAAGGAGTTTTCAGGCTAGTCTAAGCATGATTTCTCCCTCTCCCACACCCACATAGTGGCATGTCTTCAGCAACAGGGTTTTTCCCATCCACTTCCTGTGTGAAACCAACATTATTGGCAATGACCTTTATAGTTTTGGGGACCTCTTGTGTCCTTCAGGCCAAGAGCTTATAGGGGGCTACCTGCCTCTGGCACTGGGATTTTTCATTTAACAACCCTGTTGCTTTTGGAAGTGTTCCTTCTGTGCTTAAGGCTTTTTTTTTTTTAATGTGTATCTGGAGAATTATTTTCCCCTTTTATTCCCATAGTTCTTTGTATAGTCCTTCTTCCCCTCCTCCCTTTTAACTACCTCCTTTTTTACATATTTTTCCTTTAATAATGCCTTTATCCTACTATTCTCTCTCAGGTTCCTTCTTTCCCTTTACCTCCCTGTTTTCCTTCCATATTCTTGGTTCCTGAAGTTGCATCAGGATATGCACTCACTTAAAAGGATTTGGTGCTAAGATGCCAAGGAGTGGTATAACTGGGTCACATAGTAGGTCCATTTTTAGTTTTTGATGAGTTCTCCACACTGTTTTCCATAGGGGTTTCACAAGTTCATAATCCCATCAGCAGTGAATGAGCATTCCCCTTTCCCCACATTCTCACCAGGATTTGGTATCATTTGTTCTCTTTATCCTAACCAGTCTGATTGGGGTAATGTGAATACTTAGGGTGATTTAAATTTGCATTTCCCTAATTACTAATGATGTTGAACACTTTTTAAGATGCTTCTTAGCCAACGGCCTCTCTCTGACCTGCAGTTGGTTTATCTGGGCCAACTGTATGTCCTTAAACACCCAAAAGGAATGTATAACCAAAGGTTACAGGGGCCAATATAATTTATTAAGAGCCCATACACATAGCTAAAGGCTACACAACAAGCAACAATGCCAGATAGGAGATGCCTTCTTTTGAGTTGTTGGTCAGGGTGGCCAATGGGTCTTCCATATAGTAACCCTGCATAGAACTGGGAAAATGAACAGCAGACCCAAATGTTATCTAAAAGAAAATTGACAATTGATTGTTGGTAGATGAGGAACAGCTGCCCCAACTAAAACAGAGACCTCTAGATAGGCTGACTAGATTCACCATAAGGGCAAGAGGTGGGGAATAGCTGGGTGTGTTGACAAGACAGCAGACAGTAGCAGGGATATCAGAGTATTAGGGCTCCAGTGAGGGGAGGGAGGCTACGGGATGTTGTCATCTGGGAAGTAGGTGTATAGTTGAATAAGATGGTTTGGGATGTTCTGTGTGATACACACACACACACACACACACACACACACAATCAACAAATTTTTTAAAATGTATTATATTTGAGGAGGAAGCATGGAACTTTATGTCATGTTATTTAGTAGAGGTGATAAACATTACCACTGAAATCTACCTGATGACTTTATTTATATATACACAGGTGCCAAGGATCCAAGTGCAACCGATTATGATTAGTAATAAACAGATACATACAGATTAGAGATGCAAGCTCCAACATCTCAGTGTTAGTAGCAAAAACAATGAGTCTTTCTGCAAGGAACAATATATTGTAAAATGAAATGGAGATCTTTTTTAAAGGTTAAAAACTCTTTCAATTTTTTGTCTTACAGGGCTTATACTGAGTTCAATATTGTATAACTATTAATTCTCAACTGTGAACCTAGAAACTTTCAACCACTTATGAAAGAGTGGTGCGTGTTACTGAATATGTTAAAGCTGTAGTGAAATTCTTCTTCTAATCATGTAGTTATTAAAAATTAAAAAAATAATGATTAAAAAATAATCCTTCAAAGCATTAAAATTTGCTCCTTGATAATTACTAGATGTAACATTACCACTCTAATCTACCTGATGACTTTATATCCATGCTCAGATGCCAAGGAGCTCAGAAAGTAACCGACAGTGACTTGTAATAATCAGATATATACAGATTAGAAACGCATGTGCAAACATCTTTATGTCAACTGCATTAAAAATGAATTTATCTGTATGAAACTGTGTATTTTAATAATGAAATGGAGATCTTTTTTAAAGGTTAAAACATCATTTAATTTATGTCTTATAGGGTTTATACTGAGTACAATATTGTATAACTGTAATAATTCAACTGTAAACCTAAAAATTTACAGCCAAATTTGAAAGAGATGCATCTTAGCTCTGGAAATTGTTATTGAATATTTCAATGCTGTTGTATTGAAGTGCTTCTTCTAAGTATGTGTTTATTAAATAAATAATTAAAACGTTAAAAAA